CTTCCTTCCTTCTGAGACCTGTCCTGAGCGCTCAGCCACTATTCCTGCTCTAGGTGAATGACAAGGGAAGGTCCCTGGTGTTCCACAAACAGTCATTAAAGTGTTGCAGCTGGTTGCACTGGTAGCAAAAAACCAAAAAGTACGTGGGCGCGTACACACAACACCTGGCCAAGTGATGAAAGTTTGACCCCTGAAGTTTCTATGAAATCTGATGACCACAAACATCAAAGGAATTTTAACAATAATTTTAGAGCACTGACACTAAGATTAACACTTGATTTATTTAGACATTATCCTGGTCCTAATGTGTTCATCTGTAGATGTTTTGGGGTTGGAGGGGGGGTATGCCTGACTCTGTAAAAATAATCCCTTAGCCTCAGCTTTATTCAGACCTGCACTGACTTTAGGGGTGAGGTGTGCAGAATGCAAGGTTAGATTCTTGTCTAATATTTAGTGACTAACAAAATCTAAAATATAATCTTTAATTTCACTGACTGGTTTCAAAATGTCTTCCTGTTTAATTTAACTCCCACATTGTTCAAAGACATCTCGGTTCATGGCTACAATCAAAGTATCAGACTAGCTATTTCTCAGCTCAGTGCTCAGAAAAATTACTATAGTTGATAAGCCCTTTTTTCCCTATTAAGTAAATCTCAGTTTTGAACATTCCAGACCCAGGTAAACCGAGCCTCATGAACACAGGAGGCCTGAGGGAGATGCCTTGCCAACCCCTCATCCACTTTGCCAAACAGCCCATTGTCACCATCACCTTAGCCAAATGGATTACAAAGTCCTATGATCATTGGGAAATGATCCAGAAAGAGTCTCTCAAAACACGGGATCTTTCTGTTTCTTCTTAATGAACCAAGAAGAATCAGGGAGACCCACCTCCTAGGGGCAACTGAAAAGACAAGGAAGGTTAGACTGTGGGAAAATATCACAAAGTAGAAATGCCACTCATCCTGAAGATTTATGCACTGTTTTTCAAGATAAATAGCTCTACATGAGCCCACTGACCAAATAAAAACCAGGCAGGAAGAAAGAGCACCAAAATCGCAGAGATCTGAAAGGCCAGAGCAGCGTAGGAGCTAAAAACACTTGTCTGTCATACACAGATGGACAAAGAAGGAATCCACCAAATACCACAAATAACCAAGGCAATGAGGCAGCTCAGAGAGAAAACGAAAAATCTCCAGAAAATAAACTTTTAAAGACATGGAAATATGTGATGTGAATGACAGAATTCAAGATTGCAGTTCTGAAAAAAACTCAATGAATTACAATACAAGAAACAGAGGCAGTTTGATGAACTCAGAAATAAAAATCAGTGAATAAAACGAGAACTTACCAAAGGGATTGAAACTTTAAAACAGAACCAAATAGACATTCTGGAGATGAAGAACTCAGTAAAGGTGATAACAAATGAACTAGTGAGCAAAAAACAAAAGCAGGAAAGAAAGCACCAAAATCCATTTAATTCTTATATCATTTATTTCTGTCGTAGAATTTGCAGTCTGGAAAAGACCCTAGAAATTCTGCAACTCTGCCACTTCGTGTGTGAGGAAATTGGGGCCCTTGGAAACCATGGCTTGTCTAAGTCAGGCTAGAACCTAGGTATCCTGGTTTCCAGTCCACAGACATTTATTGGGTGAACATAGAAAGGTTTCTGGTTTTTGATGGCCGATTTGTTGAACAACTGACCCAGTATCTCCAGGAGGTAAACTGAGCCTCATGAACATAGGAGGCCTGAGGGAAGATGCTCCTCTGTCCCCTGGTGGCGGGAGGGTTAAACGATCATGTTGCAACTTGTTCTGGGGGAAATTCTTTGGGGAATTAATTATTGCTCTGATTATATGGAGTATGACTTTTCTTGAAGTAGCTTGTCATATTTAGTTTGTACTGGTATTGTACAAAACCAAGGCACAATTTAAAAGACCTTGACGCCTTCCTGAAGCTTACAGACAAAACCTGCTACTAGTCAGATCAAGTTGTTTTAGTTTTATCTGGCCGATCTCCAAAACAAAAACAACCAAAAAGGTGTTTATTTTGAAGTCTGTTCTATTCATCTTGTTGGAATAATACGTAGCTGTTTGGAACATCTGCACTGCCTTCCAGATGAAGCCGTGAGAAACGTGTAGGTCATTCGACCTCTCCCTTGGCGTGGGGGAGGCTGCAGGAGGCATATCAATGACACAAAGGAGCCTAGCTCGGTCAATACAGCTGGCATTCGGGGAGGCCGTGTGCCCAGGCAGGATAGCATGTTCCTAACTTCATACTTATTTGTTCTATTTTCTGTTGGAAAAAGTTTCAGATAGAATCACAGGACCCTTGGTGGGAGGCTTTCACAGACCCTAGGCAGTCACCTGCTGCCAGCTCACCCACGTGTGCCACAGCCCCCCCTCCATCTGTGACTGTGCACTTGCTCCCAAATTCTTAGGAGCCCTATTTAACTTTTAAGGAGCATATGAGTATGGGTCTAGGACACACCTACCCCAGTGTTTAGGAAGTGATATCTGAGCCTTTGCTAAACAATGAAAGTCTTGGACTGAATTGTACCTGGGCAGAGGTGACCATGTTCTGGGCCTGCCTGCTGTTTTCTAGAAACACACTTATGGGAGGAATAATTGCAGCCCCCAGATCTCCCAGGACTTGCAAACTAAAACCTTGAGGACACACATTTCTTGTCCCTTGCCTGACCTCCCTTTGCTCCCTTCCCTAGGAAGGCTCTGATGGCAGCTGGGGAGACAGAGGAGAGGGTGGGAGGGAGGGAGAGAGAAAGAGGGAGAGAGGGAGCTCATGCCTGATGGATCCCATTAGGCTTAGTGTGCAAAGCAAGTTGAGATGAAGTAGCTGCTCTGGTATTCATCCAAAACTGCTGTTCTATTTTTAGTTTCTCCCGCGTGCTTCTTAGCCCCACACTGTCCGCTTGGGCACCTGGATCGGCAGCAAACCGTGGAACTGAGCCACTCATTTGTGAGTCTGGAAGGAAGGAGCCATTGATGGGGGGCTTGTTTGTGGCTGGCGGGGAGGGGGCTGGAATGTTAATGAGGAGCCTCCGGAGCTGCCTCCGCGGTCAGCCAGGAGTTCAAAGGGGGAGGCAGCCCGGTCCTGCGGGAACAAATGGGAACCGCTGACAGAGGGAAGGAGACATCAATTATGCTGTCGCAGGCTTCCATGTCATTGTGTTGGAGTTGTTAGAAAAGGTAGGACAAGGACCAGATCTCAAAAGGCAACAAAGCCACATGGCCTTGAAGTATAACGAGTTTGCCATGGCAACTGATGGAAATGAGCCTCCCGGGCACTGAG